CCTAAAAACTATCTTCCCAATTAATTATAAATTTTCAACATCAAAATAACTTACAAATGGACAAAGCTGCTTTAAATTTAAAAGGAATAAGAGGTTGAAAATGATATCAGAGTCTATACCTTAATAAATGGTTGTAAATTTCTATTTTCAATAAACTTGCTTTCAGACAATAATGTAAAGCTGGACATAAATTGTTTTTAAATCTCAGAAATATGTTCAAACAATCTGATGACCTAACTAGTCAAAATAAATCAGAAACATACACACAATCCTAAAAAAAACAGGATGCAAAATATTATATATAAAATGCTTTAATTATTTTAAAAATTAGATAATTATTTGTGTGCAGATATGATACACAGCAAGTGTTTCCAAAGGTTTTCTGGCTGATGAGAAATTGTGGTAGGTTTTTGTTTGTTTTAGTTATTCTCATTTTCTATTTGTTCTTTACAACACTTGGATTATTGTGGGATAACAGAAATATTACTTATGTAATTAAAAAAAACAGGCACTGTTTAAACACTTTCCCTGTATTAACTCACTTATTATTATTATTTTTTATTGTGCTTTAGGTGAAAGTTTACAACTCAAGTTAAGTTCTCATACAAAAATCTATACACATATTGTTTTGTGACATTGGCTGCAAACACTACAATGTCACAGCACACTCCCCCTTTCCACCCCGGGTTCCCTGTGTTCATTCAGCCAGTTCCTACCCCTTCCTGCCGCCTCATCCTGCCTCTGGACAGGAGCCGTCGTCCATTTGGTCTCATGTATCTGATTGAACTAAGAAGCACATTCCTCACATATATTATTTTTTGTTCTGTAGTCCTGTCTATTTTTTGAGGAGTGGGCTTCGGGAATGGTTTCAGATCTAGGTTAACAGAGCATCTGGGGGCCATACTTTCGGGGGTTCTCCAGTCTCTGTCAGACCATTAAGTCTGGTCTTTTTATATGAATTTGAGTTCTGCTCCACACTTTTCTCCTGCTCTGTCTGAGACTCTCCGTTGTGTTCCCTGTCAGGGCTGTCATTGGTGGTAGCCGGGCACCATGTAGTTCTTCTGGTCTCAGGCTGGTGGAGTCTCTGGTTTAGGTGGACCTTTAGTCTCTTGGGCTAATATTTTCCTTGTGTCTTTGGTTTTCTTCACTCTGCTTTGCTCCAAGTGGGATGGGACCTCATTTAATATTCTTAAGAAACCTATAGGTACTTTTATAATCCCCATTTTACAGATGAAGCAACTGAAGCAAGGAAAGGACCCAGAAACATCTGAAAAGTGAACAAAAATTACTAAAAGATACATTGAAAGTTGCAGAAGAACCACAAGATGCCCGCCAGATTACTGTTGTTGGGTGCCATCGAGTTGGTTCCAACTTATAGTGACCCTATATACAACAGAAGGAAACACTGCCCAGTCCTGCGCCATCCTCATAGTTGTTGCTATGCTTTAGCCCATTGTTGCAGCCACTGTGTCAATCCATTTCGTTGAGGATCTTCTTCTCTTTCTCTGACCCTCTACTTGACCAAGCATGATGTCCTTCTCCCGCGACTGGTCCCCCCGATAACACGTCCAAAATATGTGAGATGAAATTTCACCACCCTCGCCTCTAAGGAGCATTCTGGTTGTACTTCTTCCAAGACAGATTACTAATGCATAAAAAAAATCCATACTGGAGATATTGTTTTTGACTAGTACTTTTAACAATTTGTTTTTGACCACCTCATCCAGAATAAATATATCTGGGGTGTGTTAGCCATCTAGTGCTGCTATAACAGAAATACCACAAGTGGATGGCTTTAACAAAGAGAAGTTTATTTCCTCACAGTAAAGTAGGCTTGAAGTTCAAATTCAGGGTGTCAGCTCCAAGGGAAGGCTTTTTCTCTCTGTCGGCCTTCTCATCAATCGTCCCCCTGACTAGGAGCTTCTCCACACAGGGACCCTGGGTCCAGTGCCACTCTGCTCCCAGCACTGCTTTCTTGGTGGTACGAGGTCTGTCTATCTCTCTGCTCACTTCTGTCTTTTATATCTCAAGAGATTGCCTCAAGACACAATCCAATCTTGTAGATTGAGTCCTGCCTCACTAACATAACTGCTGCCCACCCTCCCTCATTAACATCATAGAGGCAGGATTTACAACATACAGGAAAATTTCACAATACAGGGAATCATGGCCCAGCCAAACTGACACATGCAGTTTTTGAGGGACGCAATTCAATCCATGACATTGGGGTGAGGTAAGTGGCATGTAAAGTGGAGAAGCAGGTTTCATGGACAAGATATTGTTTGCGCTAAATCCCAGAAGATGAATAACAGTTCTGGAGGTCAGGGGTGGGGCTAGGTGGCAGGGGAATTGGGTGGTGAAGGCATTCCAAGTAGACTACATTACCCGTAGAAGGAATGAGCTCTTGGGAATTGCAGATTTTTACACATGAGCGGAATTTAGGGTCTGAAGGAGTGTGTAACCAAAAATGGGACTGGAGACATAGACAGGAGCAGACCACAGAGGTCTGTTGTATGCTGTGCTAAGTTCAGACATCACAAACTATTTCTCCCAAACCTGTTTTACCTAGTGGTCTCAACTGCATGCCAGTATACTTTTTGCCAGAGTTTCCAATGGAAACAAAACAAAACAAGACACATTCAAATTACCTTCCTCTGGGAGGCATGGCGGTCACTGGAAGTTTTTGAACACTAAGAGATGTAGTAGCTAGAACTCGTAAACATCGAAATGGCGGCGGGGGGCAGGGGAGGGAAACAGGGTCAAAGGCATAGGAGACACTGAGGCCTTAAGTATCAGTACTAGCAGGGATGGACTTCCCTTGTAAGGCCCAAATGTAGAAACAGAGATAGTCTTCCTGGGGGACTGCTGTCACCTACAGGTAATGAAGGGTGAAAGAACATTGTACGTTTTAATGGCTGAAGATTCAGTTCAGCCTATCTTTCTCCACAGCTACCCAGCCCAGAGAACTCTGCCTTCCTGTTCTGAGGCTCAGGTTCCCTAACTCCCTGCCTCCTGCCCTACACTCTGGAGGCAGGATCCAGGTATTATTTAGGTCTGAATCCCCAACAGCCAGGAGAGTGCCTAGCCTTCAAAAACAAAACAAAACAAAACAAAAGAAAACTGAATGGGAATGGGATACAATTCTCAGGTGGTAAATAAGAGCTAGATCTATTTTTCTCCCCCTCCACTGCCATCATCACCCTGGTCCAAGCCATCATTAACTGTTCCTTAGGTTATTACAGCAGCCTTCTAGTCTACCTGCTTCCATACTTGAGCCCAGCAGCCAGAGTGATCCTCCTAAACTGCAAGCCAGATCAAGTTGTCCTTCTCCTGAAAATCCTCCACTGGCTTCTGAGTCTGGTCAGAGGAAAAGGCAAAATCTTTTTTTAATTTTTATTTTACTAATTTATTTTGTTTTATTTTTGTTGTTGTTGAGAACATACACAGAACATGCACAAATTCAACAACTTCTACATGTACAATTTAGTGACATTGATTACGTTCTTTGAATTGTGCAGCCATTTTTGCCCTCGTTTTCTTAGTTGTTCCTCCCGCATTAACAGAAACTCACTGCCCCCTAAGTTTCCTATGCAATCTTTTGAGTTGCTATTGTCAATTCGATCCCGTATAGAGAGATCTTAAAAGAGCTCAATGCTCAAGGCAGACATTCTTTACTAGTTAAGCTAAACTGTTGTCTGATTTTGAGAAGACTTTAGGGGATACTTTTGGTTTAAGGTTTAAAGATTATCTCAGGGAGATAGTTTCAAGGGTTCGTTCATCCAGCCTCCACAAATAACTGCCCATTTTGCCACGAGACCAGAAGAAGTGTAAGGTGCCTGGCTACCATTACAGAACTATAAAGTCTATAGAAGAATCCTGACCAAAAGGGGGACAATGTACAACAGAATTTTAAATTACCATGGAAGGTGTTTAAGCAGAGGAGTTATCTATTTGTGTAGATTCTCTAGTACAGTGTAGGAGATGGAATGGAAAGGGAGAAGGAAAGCAGTGTCAGAAGCAATGGAAAAGGCTTCTAAGGCACCAAAGTACCTTTAGGACTTTGACTTCTACCACTCTTCACCTTGTACATTCTGTTCCAGCCATATTCGCCTAGTTGCTCTTGCTAGAACCCACCAGGAATACTCCTGCCTCAGGCCTTTGCACTTCTATTGCCCACCCCAGAATGCTCTTTCCCCAGTATCCACAGTATCCACACGGCTCTTAAGCACTTCCTCTCTGTCTGTGCTCACATGTCACTTCATCAGAGAGTCCTTCTCTCTTCACCGAATATTTAAGCATAGCAACATAATTCATCCCGTTACTCTGCTTTATTGTTCTTCACAGCACTTACCACCGCCTTATATATAATTACTTGTTCATGGTGTGTCTCTTCTCATTAGAATGTATGCTCCAGGAGAACATGGACCTTTTTTGGTTGGCTACTATATCCCTTGTGTCTTAATAATGCTTGGCACATGGTAGGTGCCCAGTAAAATTTTTGTTGAATGAAATGATTAATAAATAATATTTTTATACCAATATTACATTTTTTCCTTCTTCCTCTCACCAAATCTTTAATAATAATGAAAATAATATGTATTACAGGCTTGCTTCGTTCCAGGCATAATGTTAAGCGGTTTATATAGAGTACAAATTTATTTTCATTTATAGAGCCTGCATACTCTATGCCAAGTGCAGGGGCTGCTATGCCACGTGCAGGGGGTGCCAGTCCCGCAGGAACTCGATGGGCAGAGCCACTAAGAGACAAGGCGAGTGCGGCCCTCCCCGGGAATGGTGCAGTTTCCCGTTCTGCCCAGCAGGGGCTCAGTGGCCCCGGACAGCTGCTCGGCGGGGAAAAAGGAGGAACCGCACCGCCCGGCTCCCAGCCGCTCCGGCCCCCTTAAGGCGCATGCTCCACCCTGGCCCCTTGCCTGCTAGCAGCGGTTGGGGCGGAGTCTCCGTGGTACTTTTCCGTCGCGGGCTGCTCTGATTGGCGGCGCGGGTAGCTCAGGCGCAAGCCCTCATGTGGGAGCCGCCTCTGGCCTTTCTAAGTCCCCTCGCCTTTTGCCAGCCAACGTGAGCGGACGCAAGGGCCCCGGAGAGCTGCCAGAGACAACAGCTCCAGGTGAGTGCAGGTCCCGGCTGCGCCGCCAGTTGCAGATGCGGCGTAGAGTCTATGCCCGGCCTGTCTGAACGGGCTTTGCAGGGAGGCCGCGGACTGTCCCCAGGTGCTCAGCCCCCGCGACCCCTTAGCCTGTGCAGGTCGACAGGTCCCTTTCCTCTTGGAGCCCGGTGCGTCCTGCACGGGGTACCTGATGGTCCCTTTTCTGCGGGAGGTGGCCCGAGGCACCTCACAAGGACCTAGGAAGACAGGACTCGCTGAAGTCCGCTCTTCCCCGGACGCTCTCCGGTTTCCTGGATACTAACAGTCGCCAGTCAGCGAAACACCCCAGATCCCCGGACTGCAGGACCAGCTGGGATATCTGATTCCCGACTCTCCTCCTTCTTGGTTCTCTCCTCCCTTAGCTACCCCAGCCAGCCTGCCTTGCCTCTCTTAACTTGTTAGCCAAGGGCGTGGTCAAGAGCTGACTTTGGCGTCAGTCCTGAATAAAATCCTGGCAATACTGCTATTTAACGCAGATGGAATTCTGCTTTGGGTACTTAACTTGGGTGAACTTCAGCTTCCAAAAAGATAGGGTTTACCAGTATTGCTGGAGGAGTAATTGACGTGGTAGATGAGAAGCGCTGCTTGTGGTGTCTGGCACAAAACAAGAGCTTAAATAGCTGCCGCTGCCGTTGTTGTTGTTACAAAGCTAAATGACAAGCTGCTTTGGCGTCTTTCTTCAGCCATGAACTGTTGGACCTCCCCTGCCCTATTTTTCAAAATCTGTATTGTGCATCATATATGTGCCTGGTTCTTAGCTAAGTCTTGCAGGGTACAAAGTTGAATCAGACAAGGCCTCTGCCCTCCTAGGCTGGAACAAAATGACGGCAGACAAGCACAGTATAGAAAGAATTGGATAAAGGTGCTGAGAGAGTCCAGAAAAGGGCACCAAGTCCACCGTGGGGTAAGAGGACCAGAGAACGTCCCTGGAGGGAGCTTTTTCTCCTTTCAGCTTCTCATTCAGCAGCCTTGTAAGAGGTGCTCGACCAGTATGTTGAGAAACGTGGTCAGTGTTGTGTTGGAAGGAAAATTAACTCAGTGACCTGTTTCCAGTTGAGTAGCTTCAGCTGTTAACTCTTATGAAAAGTCTTCTGTGGACATCTGGTCCAAGTTCTGTAGAGTAGGTATGAATGGAAAGCACCTACTGCCAAAAGTTGTTATTCAATATTATGGTCATAACCTTTAATTTTTCTGTTGCACTCTACTCCTTATTCCCTAATAATAATGGAGTTTTAGGAGGTAGCATTTATGATAACAGGTAACCTGGGGCTGTGCAACTCTTTCCAACTACCATAAAGAAATAAAAACTTGTAAGTAACAGCTGTGGGCTTACTCTGCCAACACAGACTCAAGATGACGTTCCTATGTGCCAAGAAGTTCGAGGGTCACCACTGCTCCAAGAAATAACTTCAGGACAGAATCAATTCACTTTTTAATAGATTTAATTTTTAGAGCAGTTTTAGGTTTACAGAAAAACTGTACAGAAAGTACAGAGTTCCCTAATATCCTCTGATCCCCTGCCCACTGTTTCTCCTATTGTTTTTGTCGTCATTAATGCCATTGAGTTGATTCTGGCTCATGGTGACCCCGTGTGTTATAGAGTATAACTGCTCCGTGGGGTTTTCTTGCCTAGGGTTTTCTTGGCTGCAATCTTAATGGAAGGCAGATCACCAGGCCTTTTCTTCCAACGATGGGTTCAAACCATCAGCCTTTGGCCAGCAGTTGAATGCCAAGTGTTTTCGCTACCCAGGGACCTCCTCCTATTATTAACGTCTTGCATTCATGTAGTACCTTTGTTACAACTGATAAACCAATACTGATACATAATTATTAACTAAAGTCCATAGTTTACATTAGGGTCCCCTCTTTGTGTTGTACAGTCCTATGGATTTTGACAAATGCGTAATATCATACAGAATAGTTTCACTGCCCTAAAATGCCCTGTGCCCCACCTATATCCAATTCGCTTTTAGCATCGCCTCCTGAAAACCAATTTATTTACGTGTAGACCTAATTAAAGACTTGTGGAATATCAGTTTAAGCATAAGTCATTTTTTTTAAACAGATGTATTGAGGTATAACGGAGCCCTGGTTGCACAGTGGTTAAGAGTTTGGCTGCTAACCAGAAGGTCGGCAGTTCGAATCCACCAGCCACTCCTTGGAAACCCTATGGGGCTGCTCTGCTCTGTCTCATAGGGTTGCTATGAGTTGGAATCAACTCGAAGGCTACGAGTTTAGTTTGGTTATTGAGGTATAATTAACATACAATAAAAAAACACTTGCCTGCTAGTTAACTCTCACACATTGCGACCCCATGTATGTCACAGTAGAACTGTGCTCTGTAGGGTTTTCAATGGCTCATTTCTTTGGGAGTAGATCACCAGGCCTTTCTTTCAAGTCCACCCAGAGGTTATCAGCCAAGTGTATTAACTGGGACTCTTGACATACAATAGCAAGTCATATTTAAAGTGTATAATTCTGTCAGTTTTGGCATATTTATACACCTATGGATATGTCAGCACAATCAAGGTAATGAATGTATCCATCACCCCCAAAAGGTTTGTAATCATTTCCTCCCTCCTTCCCTTTCCCCATTGATTTGCTTTCTGTCAATATAGATTAAGTTGCATTTTATATAGTTTTATATAAATGGCATCGTATAGCATGTATTCTTTTTTTGTTGTGTTCTTTCACTCAGCGTAATTATTTTGAAATTGATCCATGTTGTTGTGTGTTCATTCCATTGCACTGCTGAGTAGTATTCCATTGTATGTATATACCACAATTTCTTTATCCAGTTACACTTCTCAGTTTTTGGCTATTACACACAAAGCTGCTATGAACATTTTTGTACAAGTCTTTGTATGGGCATACATACATGCATCTTTATAAGTGAGTAGAGTTATTAAAAAAAAAAAAAAAGCAGGAGGCCTGAGCTCTAGTCCCAGCTTTGCCACTAACCATCTAGGTGTTTGTGGGAAAGTCACTTCACTTTACCTTTAACATGAGGTCATTGGACCATTCATCCCCAAGATCTTTTCTAGGTAAGTCTGTGTTTCTGAGCCATCACTGCCAGAAACTGAATGTTTTTTGTTAATGGTTGGGAGGTTTCAGAAGAAAAGAGAGGTGTTTTTTTCCCCTTGATTTTCTTTTGCAGGCTCTGTTTTCTTTTCTGTCTGTTTTTTTCCTTGGCTGACACGTTTGAATCCTGATGTATAATTTGGGAGCAAGAACAGAAGTGAGTAGATAGTGCAAGGCAAGAGCTAATATTAGCCAGACTTAATGATTAAATTGAAGTCCCTGGATGGTACAAACCTCCAAGTCCACTCAGAGGTGCCTTCAAAGAAAGGCCTGGCAATTTACTCCTGAAGAACCAGCTGTTGAAAACCTTGTGGAGCACAATTCTACTCTGACACACACGGGGTCACCATGAGTTGAAATTGACTCAATGGCAATTTTTTTTTTTTTTTTAAATGTTTAAATCACAAGTAGAGGGGAAGAGGTGAGAGCTTAACAGACTCTGGAATTTTGTGGACCTTTCCTTTTCCTCACTCTGTTCTCTTCTGAGGCTTCCTGAAGTTCTGTTACTTCTCCGGTAACAAGTTTTTTTAACCTTGTAGTGAGGGAGTGGGTGGGTGTGCTGAGGGGGTCGGGGGAGGGCTGGTTCCTAGTAAAAAGAATTCCTCATTTTCTTGCTTCTAGATATGACTGGAGTCATATGCTGCATACTTGCCCTTCACCTGACTTTCACTTGCCCTAAACATGGTTCAGAGCTTTTCATGGGAGGTTTAGTCTGCCAACATATTTTTGAGTAGTAAAACTTGGGTGATTAACAGTGGGCTGACTGTTTTATACAGAATGAAAATGCGGCTCTTGGGGTTGGTGGTCTGTTTGGTCCTTGGGACTGTGCATTCAGAGGGGCCCAGAAGGAAGCGGACATCTGTGGATCCTGAAGTAAACATGAATGTGGTAAGTTTCTCAGAGTCACTTGCTTTAAGAATGCACCTGTGATGTTAGTTATTTTCTTAAATCCAGTTATGTGTCCCCAAATAAGTCACAAACTCTGGCATCTTTCTCTCCCGTGTACTTTTCACTTTTCCTGAATCTTAGATTCAGTTTGCTAGACTTTTCCTACCAGGTAGTATGTATTTTAGGAGTTTCTGGTTTGTGCAAATGGCTAACATGTTTGACTGATAACTGGGAGGTTGGAGTCCACCTTGAGGCACCTAGGAAGAAAGGCTTGGCGATTTGCTTGCGAAAAATCAGCCATTGAAAACCCTGTGGAGCACAGTTCTACTCTGACACCCGTGGGGTCGCCATGGGTTAAAATTGACTCTACAGCAACTGGCTTAATATGTATTTTACAAATCCTATTTTACTGCTAAAACTGTATACTTTTTTTTTTATTGTTGTAGTTTCAGTGAAAGTTTACAATTCAAGTTAGTTTCTCATACAAAAATTTATGTATATATTGTTATGTTACCCTAATTGCTCTCTCCATACTGTGACAACACATTCCTCCTTTCCACCCCTGATTTCCTGTGTCCATTCAAACAGCTGCTAACCCTCTCTGCCTTCTCATCTCACCTCCGGACAGAAGCTGCCCATTTAGTCTCAAGTATCTATCTGAGCTAAGAAGCACACTCTTCATGAGTATCATTTCATGTCCCACAGTCCAGTCCAATCTTTGTCTGAAGAGTTGGCCTTGGAAATTGTTTTAGTTCTGGGTTGACAGAAAGTCCAGGGGCCATGCTTTCTGGGGTTCCTCTAGTCTTAGTCAGACCATTAAGTATGGTCTTTTTACTAGAATTTGAGTTCTGCACCCCACCTTTCTCCTGCTCCATCAGGGACTCTGTTGTGTTCCCTGCCGGGGCAGTCATTGGTGGTAGTCGGGCACCATCTAGTTCTTCTGGTCTCAGGCTGATAAAGTCTCTGGTTTATGTGGCCCTGTCTGTCTCTTGAGCTAATACTTCTCTTGTGTCTTTGGTGTTCTTCATTCTGTTTTACTCCAGATAGTTGGGAACAATTGATGCATCTTAGTGGCCACTTGCTAGCTTTTAAGACCCCAGACGCCACTCACCAAAGTAGTATGCAGAACATTTTCTTAATAAACTTTGTAAAAGTATATACTTCTTAATAAAATAAATATTTTTTATTAATTAGTTTCATTTTAAGTCACACTGAATTTGTTTTAAAGAGCAATAAAAAAGTGTCAAAACATTGCATGAATGTTACTACTGAGTACTGGTTTGAGAGTACATTGAATGTGGATAATGACTAAGATTATCAAAGGAACACAGGTCAATACAAAATTCAAAGTATCTGTAAAAAAATATCTTTAGAATAAGTAAAAATAACCCTTTGATTAATTAAAATTCAAAATTAATAATTTTAAGTAAACAATAAAAACTGGAAACACCTTATTTTGGCATACATTATGGGAACATACAGATTATTTTTTAAAAACAGCAATTTTGAAGGTGTCGTGACTAATTGAAGAATCGCTATCAGAATCTTAAGGTTAAGTTATTTTTCTTGTCTCAAATCTTTTATCTTCCTCCTCCTCCTCCCATTTTATTTATTTATTTATTTTTATTCCTTCCAGTAGGAATTAAAAAAATTAAACCTTTCAGGTATTTACAGCAGGGAGGACAATGAGCACTTATTTATTTTAAATCTCCTGAATAATTAAATTATCCATATACCACTGAATTCTTGATTAAGAATTGCCTGAGGAATCTTTCCCTATGGAGAAATGAATTTGATCATAATTCTCCATTTTTATCATCTTTTCATTGTTTTGAACTCCCTCTTGATATTCTAGTGTAATTTTGTTAGTCTATTGATAAAAACCGATTAATGTTTTTTATGCTTTATTTCCCAGTACCAAAAAACCAGAACCAAACCCATTGCTGTCAAGTGGATTTCAACTCATGGCGACCCCATGTGTTTCAGAGTAGAACTGTGCCTCATAGGGCTTTCAATGGCTGTAATCTTATGGAAACCAAAGGATGGCACAGATGGTTTGCACTCCACTACTAATCTAATAATCTACTAATCAGTAGCACCACAGAAGAAGATCCTGGCTATCTTCCATAAAGTTTATAGCCAAGAAAACCATATGGAGCAGTCCTACTCTGTAACACATGGGATCACTATGCATTGAATCGACTCGGTGGCAATGGGTTTGGTTTTAATCTTATGGAAGTAGATCACCAGGCCTTTCTTCTGCAGCGCTGCTGGGTGGATTCAAACCACCAGCCTCCTGGTTAGTAGCTGATTGTGTCACTGGGTGTGATGGTTAAGGTTGTATGTCACCTTGGCTGGGCCATGATTCTTAGTGGTTTGGCAGTGGTATGATGTTCTGATCACTTCCATGATGAGATTTGATACAATGTGATCACCTCCATGATGGAATCTGCTGTGAGTAGCTAGTCAGTTGAAAGGAATTTTCCTTGGACGTGTGGCCTGCATCGAATATAGGTGGCCATTCTGGCAAGGCTCATGGGCTTTTGCTCATTCTGGATCCTGCAGCAGGCTCATGTCATGTTCGTCTGACCATCAGTTCTTGGGACTTGAGATAGCAGCTTACCTGTGGTCTTGCCTGCCAGTGTTGGGATTTGTCCACCTTCGCAGCCTGTGAGCAAGAGCCCTGCTCTCTCTGACTTACTGATCTTGGGTTCTGCAGCCCCTTTGGCTTAGTGAATCAGGAGCAGCCTCTATCCTGACCCATGGACTTGGGGCATTCTAGCCTCTACAACTGTGTGAGCTATTTCCTTGATATAAATCTCTCTATGTATATACTTATATGCTTTACTGGTTTTGCTTCTCTAGAGAACCCAGCCTAAGGCACCGAGGGACCTCTTAAAATGAAGTATTAGATCACAGTATTAGCTAGCATATTTAAAAAAGAAAGCAGCAAAGGGGAAACAAAGAAGCCTAAAGTAATGGTAAAATTAGGCACAATTGGTGAAACACATAGTGCGCTGGTAGCGCAGTGATTAAGAGCTGCGTCTGCTAACCGAAGGGTCGGCAGTTTGAATCCACCAGCTGCTCCATGGAAACCCTATGGGGCAGTTCTACTGTGTTCGCTATGAGTTGGAATCGACTCGACAGCAACTGTTTGGTTTGGTTTTAGCTGGTATAACAATGCTAGAATGATAAAACACCCATGGGTAGAACATCTGGGTGAAACAAGTGGAGGACTTACCTTTGAATGGGTATTGAGTACTAGATTCAAGAGACCGAAATTTCAGTAACATGATTGATTTCTTAAAGTTTGGAGAATGTCATTGACATATTGTTTTCTCCTTTGCTTGTTAATGTGGGAGATCTTGTCAGATTCTGTTCATAGAATTTCCACTGTTCTTTATTTCCACAGAGTGAAATTATCTCTTACTGGGGATTCCCTAGTGAGGAGCACCTAGTTGAGACTGAAGATGGATATATTCTTTGCCTTCACCGAATCCCTCACGGGAGGCAGAATCATTCTGATAAAGGTATGGGTGTTTTCTGTGGGGAGCCAGGAAAGCTCTTAAAAGTAACTGTATTGCTGGAATTTATCTGATTTTTATGGCAGTAACCAAGTTCATATTTAACTTGAAAACATTGAAATGGGATTATTTGTAGACCAAAGTACTGAAAGTTTTGCTTTTATACAAGGTATATAAAAATACTTCTTTAAAGAAGTAAGGACAAGAGTCATCTAATTTCGTGTTTTGCTTAAAGATTCGAAGGTCAGATTGTGTGAAGTTATGCTAAAACCTCCATTTTCCTTGTTGTAAGGAAGCATCTTATTTAATGGAATGTTTTGAACATTTAGTAGATAGCTCTTGCTATTTGAAAATATGTTCAGTTTTATAAATAGGTAATACATTTGCATAGTTCAAAAATCAAAGAGAATAAAAAGACACACAGTAAAATACTTCCCTCCCATCTTGTTCTCAGTCTTCTCAATTTCTTATGTAGCCTTCCAAAATCTCCTTATGTATATAAAAACAAATACAAACATAAATCCTTATTTTCCCCTCCCTCCCTTTTTTATACAGAATGTGGCCTGTAATGCATCCTGTTTTATTCCTTGATTTTTTCCACTTAGTGTCTCAGAGATCATTCCATACAATATGTAGAGTGCTTCAACATTCATTTCTACAGATACATGGTATTCCACTATATAGCTGTATCTTGGTTTATTTAGCAAATTCCCTATTAATGGACAGTCTTCTCACAAATGTAGTTCAGTACTTAACCTTGTATGTATTCAAGTTTACTTATAAGGTACATCTGCAGAAATAGAATGTTTGGGACAGAACATTTTTAATTTTTATAGATACTGTTAAATTGCTTTCTATATGGGCTTGTACTGATTATAGTCTCACTAAGAATAAATGAAAATTCTTGTAGCTTTCACTTTAAAACACACGTGCGTGCACGCGCGCGCACACGGTAAAACCTGTGAAAGCCAGAACTTGTGTAAGGCGGAAGCCTGTCAGAGAAGAAAAACTCAAATATTTTCCACTAAGTAGAAGTCTATAGAAAAGTGATGACTGCACCTTGTCAAAGGTAGAAAACTTGCAAGACCCAGAAAAACAAGACAGTTCCATCGAGTTCTGGCTTTCACAGTTTTCACTGTATACATCTTTTTTTTTTCCCTCTCTCATTTTATAATTCAAGCAAAACTTGTTTCCAGTACAGATTCAGGAATTTCTAGACAGGCAACTTGAAATTGTTAAACAGGTATCAGATTAAGGATGTGATCCTTAATCATCTCTCTAGATGAATCTTATTTTTTAAACACTTTGTTTCTTAGAAACTTTCCTTGGGAAATTAAGGTTGAGATTTAAGATAATTGGCTAAATATCTATTCTTCAGTTAAAATTTTATAAGAGCATAAGGCCCTTCTAAGGGTCTTCTTTTGCCCCATTTCCTTTCCAAATTATTATTCAAAGCAAACTTAAAAACCTTCTGTTTTAATGTGATCTCTGTATCATTCTCTGATTTGATTTTTCTTAATCTGATTTCCCTATTTTTTCTTATCCCATCAATCCTAGCTTTAATAGGGTTTTTAATAATACTTAAGTGGCCAAGAGAGCCAGTGAACTCTTTGAAATTTAATTTCTAACTCTTGCAGATACATGCTGTCTTGCTTATGTAGTGCTGCTGCTATAACAGAAATACCACAAGTGGATGGCTTTAACAAAGAGAAATTTATTTTCTCACAGTCTAGTAGGCTACAAGTCCAAATTCAGGGCATCAGCTCCAGGAGAAGGCTTTCTCTCTCTGTTGGCTCTGGAGGAGGGTCCTTTGATGCATCAGTCTTCCTTTGATCTGGGAGAATCTCAGCACAAGAACCTCAGGTCCAAAGGATGTGCTCTGCTCCCGGCATTGCTTTCTTAGTGGTATGAGGTTCCCATGCGTCTCTGCTCGCTTCTCTCTTTTATATCTCAAAAGAGATTGCCTTATGACACTATCTAATCTTGTAGACCTCGTCAATATAACTGCTGCTAATCCATTTTATTACATCATAGTGATAGAGTTTACAACACATAGGGAAATCACATCAGATTACAAAATGGTACAGAATCATACAATACTGGGAATCATGACCCAGCCAAATTGATACACATATTTTCTGGGGGACATATTTCAAACCATGACACGTGCTATTAAGATTCCTTCTTATAACATGATACAAAATGAGTGGTGAGTTGCATGAGGGCTTCTAGTTTTTCTTCTGTGTAAAACATGCAAAACATTTTATGCCAGAGTGAGCGTACTGTCTTGGTTCCCTCTTTTCTTTTAAAGAGTAATCTCTATATACCAAGTTCAGATCGTATGTAGAGAAGACTATATATTTATATTATTTCTCTTAAAAGTGATTGCTTGACTAGTATAATTAGTAATGTGAGTTATTGTTAAGAGATGCTTGGGACCTCAGTAAAAACATACTGTGAGAGAATGTGTTTCCATTTCTTTTCCTATATTCATCACCACAAAGCACTTAAAGCACATGGCTCTACATGCCCTATGGAAAGTGATGTCACTACTGTTTTTTGTGAAGATGCATTGCCTTAAAGTTTGAGGAAAGTGAGCATGATTCATGATTTGCTCCCTGTCATGGTTTGGATTAAGTCCCCCAAAAAATGTGTGTATCAGTTTGGCTAGGCCATGATTCCTGGTATGTGTGATTTTCCTGTATGTCGTAAACCTGTCTCTATGATGTTAATGAGGAAGGATGGGTGGCAGTTGTGTTAGTAAGGCAGGACCTGATCTACAAGACTGGATTGTGTCCTGAGGCAATCTCTTGAAATATAAAAGACAGAAGTGAGCGGAGAGACAGGGGGACCTCATACCATCAAGAAAGCAGTGCCGGGAGCAGAGCACATCCTTTGGACTGGGGTCCCTGCGCAGAGAAGCTCCTAGTCTGGGGGAACACTGAAGAGAAGAAGGCCGACAGAGAGAAAAAGCCTTCCCCTGGAGCTGACACCCTGAATTTGGACTTTTAGCCTACTTTGACTGTGAGGAAATAAACTTCTCTTTGTTAAAACCATCCACTTGTGGTATTTCTGTTATGGCAGCACTAGATGACTAAGACGCTCCCTGATGGTAGGAAGAAAAGTTAGGAGACCACAGGTCTAGACCTCGGCCTGCCCCTAACTACTTGTGTGCTTTCATCTCTGTGGGCCTAAGATTCTTTGTCTGTAAAAACAGTCCGTTTGTGTGTGATCTCAGAGTTCCCCTTTAGTTGTTGTCACTTGCTGGTGCTGTGGGTTATATCCTTTATTCTTTTTGGCTAGGGTATGAAGGGAAGTGAATACTCTTGTTCTCTAGAGTGAACATAGACTGAAAGTAAGCTAAATCCGGTCATAGCATTAGGTTCCCATCTTCTTCCTCTGTTCTGAAGGGGCCTCTTTGTTGGGGGATCAGTGATATGTATGTAACACCTGCTATAAGCTAAGCTCAGAGGGGAGTTTTAAAGGAAACTTCTGATCGGTGACTCAGTTATCTAAAGGAATTTGTGATTTTGCTAAGAACTGCCTAGGTACTTCTCTGATGACTTGTGTTTCCATGGTCTGGGGCCGAGCTTGGGACTGAGGATCTTTATTGTGTTGCTGGTGGTGTTACTTTGGCTCATTTAATGACAAATGAAAAGAATTCATAACCTAATCATCTTCTCATCATACACACCTCTTCCCTGACTTTTCCTTCTATTGATAGCACCATTGACCTCCTAATGACCTAGACTGGAAACTGCAGAATCGTTCTTGACTGTTATCATCGAGTAGCTGTCAAGTCCTCTTCCTGGTGCCCATACTATATTGCTTCAGTTATCTCTTCCTTTGCTTTTCCAGGCCACCCCCCTAGCTGAGGCTCTTGTTACTACTTAACTGGGCTCCTGAAATAAACTCAGAACTGTGAGAGGCTTTAGCATCTCCATTTTTGAGGAGCCCTATGTATTAAAAAAAGAGAATTTCAAAACAAGAATATGAACAATCAGTCTGCCTGTAATTTCTGAAATCAATGCTTTTAGCACACACAAAAATGCCATACATCTCTTACTATTTACAAGACAATTACAAGATGCATGAAAACATTACTCATTTATCTGTATCATATTGAGCATGGAACTCAAATTTAAAGTCATGTGATGAATGTTTTTCAGTCTTGTTGTGGGAGACTTCTCTGACTGTATTCATAACCTCACTTGGAGGCTTTTTATGAACAGAGGACAGGGCCACGTAAATCCTCTGCCTGTGTCCTATTAGAAGCTCTGCCACTTGCTTTTTTCTCTGCCAGCCTCCCTGTTCTCATTCATCCTGTCTCGTTTTGCCTGATTAAACTTCTCAAAGCCCAGATGTAATTATGTGATTCTTACCATTCAGCAATCTTCAAGGGCCTAATGAATGAAGATACACATCTTTATTTAATATTCTGTCCTTCGAGCTGTTCTCTATACCATTCAACCCCATTCTGTAAAATAGTAGACCTTTGAAGTTCACCACAGATATGGTCAAAGACCCTCATGATTCCTCAGATGTATGATTAGGGTTACAGGCTATAATGTCTGTGTTGACCCCCTTGGTAAAATGCAGTAAGAATACCTCTCTTACCAGGTTTTGGAGGAGTGGTTACCAGCTGTGTTTACCCATTATCTAAGAAATGTTTATCATTTATCATCTGCACAGGTTTAAATTGGATGCCATAGCCAAATCACAAATGGTTTAGTTGAAGTTGGGTCTGTTAAATTAGTAGATATCAACGGGCTACTCTCTGGCATTCCTGAATCCAAATGAATCATTTCCTCTTTGCCAAACTCGCCTGGGACCTCAGCTGGTGACACAACTCTGGAATGATGCTCACCCTGCCCACTATCCTCATTTCTCTGTCTTGTTTTGAAATACAATTCTGTCCATCCTACCCAGGCCCAGCTTACATCAGGCCATCTCTCGCTGATTCCTTGAGTGAGAAGGAACCACACCCTTCCTCTGAACTCCCAAAT